CAGTCACTCTGTGCTGCCTTAAATAAAAAAAGACAAACAAAAAAACACATCCCTCTGTTCTTTTCCACAGTATAACTACTCACAACAACATTTAGGTTTCCTTGCATTCCCTCTTCATTTCCTGTTCAGATAAACATTCGTTTTGAAAACTACAAACATTCACTGTTAAAATCCCTCAGAGACAGGGTGACATCAATGTAATGTAAGTGATATTTAAGCACTTACAGCTGAAGTAATTGCTTTTGCCCTAAGAGTAATAGCCAGTCTTTGCAGTACAACTGTCACTCTTTACTCCTGGGGGCAAATCTGAAAAATATATGAATAAAACTATGATAATTATCATATTTTCCTAAAAAGACCTTAAAACCAAAAAGCAAGTCACACTGCAACAGGTGGTGAGCCCACCAGCTCCTCTTGGCATATTTGGATGAAAGGCTCTGTCTGCCATGTTGGACCGTACGCTTCACTGTTTCAGGACATGGCAAAAAAATAAAATAAAAAAATCAACAACCTGTGCAGGTGAAGAGACTGACTGGCATTAGTAATCTGCTTTCTCTTTCCTCCCCATTGGAGAAGAAAAAAATCCAAGAAGCACTTCAATGTGAAAAGCTGCAAACGTCCTGCATCATATCAACTCGCTGCACCATTCGCCTGCATTGTTTATTTGGCTCCTGCATACCAGCAGATTGAGCTCCCTCATAATGACCATCAAACCCCCGTCACTGGGAGAAGATGGGCCTGGAAAGATCTGCCATGACACTAAAACACATTAACAGTGGAACACCTGCCAGGGGAAGACGATGCTCCGGGGAATGTGAGGCCTTGTTGCATCCTGCCGGCTCTGTCACTCAAACATTTGGACAGAAATGTCTGAAAGCTTCAGAGCTCTGAGGAGATGTGCTTTAATACGTCAGACTTCCTGCTCCCGTCCTTACTGGTGGGTCACTTGACTGAAATGTTGAATAAAAGGTTTTCTGGATAATAACTTTCTGTTCTATGTGAGCAGATTAGTTCAGCATGTTCTTCTAGCTTCCATCCTCAGTATTTATTTGATGCGGAAAGTTTTTCTAAACCCTCACAGCAGGAGATTCTTTAACGTTTTAGCTTCTGACCCACAAAATGATGAACCTGTGACCCTGTTAACTGCCAGTTTGAATAAAAAGACATTGCTAAGAATTGAAAATATGCTGTAGAGGATCACTCATACATCTGAGCTGATATCTGGAGAATATCAAGATGAGTTTGTGTTTTGTTGGGGTCCCAACTGCAACCTTCAGAACAAACAAAGAATAAATAAGCACAACGTCTATGTCCCCCATCGCTGAAAGATTTGAACAGTGTAAAAGTGAATGTGGTTTTTAAGATAAGTGTTTTGCTGGTCTGGAATTGAACAAGGACTACAAGTAAGCCTTAATGTTTTTGGTGCAAGATATTCATGGGCAGAGCCAGAGGGGGGCCAGTGGTAGTCCTTGGCAAAAGAGATTTACTTATGGCCACCCCAATAATTTGAGGAAATTATATTTTTAAACAAAATTAAAACTAGAAAGCAAATATTTTTCTAATGATTAGGGTGGCTGCTTGACATATTTAGTATAAAGTGGTGGCCATTTTTGGATTTTGACCTGGCAACCCAGTTTTTGATATCTTTCTTACACTGGACGGCATGGTGGCTCAGTTGGTAGAACTTTTGCCTCTCAGTGAGAAGGTTGCCTGTTCAAAGCCCAGCCCGTGGCCTTTATGGGTGGAGCTTGCATGTTCTTTCCGTGCATGCGTGGGTTTTCTCCGTTTACTCCGGTTTCCTCCCACAGACCAAAAACATGCATGTTAGACTGATTGGTAACTCTAAATTATACCTAGGTGTGAGTGAGAGAGTGAATGGTTGTTTGTCTCATTTGTCTCTATGTGTCCCTGCGATGGACTGGAGATATGTCCAGGGTGTCCCTGTGATGGACTTTAGACCTGTCCATGTGATGGACTGGAGACCTGCCCACAGTGTCCCCTGCCTCTCACACAGGGACTGCTGGATATGGACACCAGTGACCAACACAACCCGAAAAATAATAAGCAGATAAAGATAACGGATGGATGGACCTTTCAGATGCAGCTGCACACCACAGTGGAAATCAGTACCTCACTTTTTTCAAATAATCAAGATTTTGTGTGTGTGTCTGTGTGTGTGTGTGTACGTGTAGGGGGTGGGGTAGCAAAATATGTAATGAACTTGTGGACAGACTTGACTAAAACTCTCAGAAATTTTTGTTGGACAAACATCTAACTGATTTACTTTAGGAGTACATCCCATTCAAGATGGCCACCGCAGCTCATTTACCTCAGCATAAATACAACATGGCTACAACTCCATCAGTTCAACATATACTGAGCTTAAATTTGACCTTCTAGAAGCTGTGAGTTATCACAAACTGAGATGTTTGTTTAAAACTCTGCTGTTTCAGATGGCAGG